TATGGGAAGATTTCCGCCTCCTGGGATAGCGATAGCCCGTATGGGAGAGCAAAACCTGAAGGCCAACCAGGCCAGTGATTCCCATGCACTCGCACCCTGGGGATCAGTGCCCTCAAGTGCTGTACAGGATATTGTGTAATTTGATCTTGTTCAGCCTGGTTCAATTGCGTTCTTCATTACTGTATACAGTAGCAGGATTCATTACGTTTTCAGAGGAGTGTGCCTGTGCAAGTGAAAATTGCAAATGTCTCATTCCCATGTTTGGGTTCCTTTCTTTTGTTCTGAGGAACTCAGAAGCGAATTTTAAAAAATTTGTTTGGTCACATTTTCAAACCTGAAACTTAAAAAAAAAAACAAATTGAGAACACTAATTAATCATTAAATTAAAGTGAAAACACATTTACCATGATTTGATCTTGTATATTCTGATTTAATTGCGCTCTTTATTATTTGAGGTTTCATCAGTATAGATTTTGAAAAGAGTGTGCCTGTGAGAATAAAAATTGTGAATGTGTGAAGTGAATCCCCTTTTTGAATTTATTTTTTATTGTGAAAAAATGTTCATCTGAAGGACCCTGGTGAAGCACATTGGTCACAGTTTAAAACGTGAATCCACGAAAATTTTATAATTCTTCACAACCGTTTAAATTTTAAAAACGAGAGTAATTATCTGTATTTGGGAACCAGGAGGCAGACATTTCCATTTTAGTGCAGTTTAAAATATTTTATTTTGATAATGATGTGTTCAAGTTGCTTAAACGGGATATTTTCGCCCTAGAATCCAAAATAGAAATGAGATATCTTTAAATTAATTTTCAAAGAATAACTTTGAATAAGGCTTCATTTTTAGTTAATTTTTTAAACTCATGATCAAATAATAATTTTCAAAAAAAAGTTTTGTACCGTATGTTTCATTAGCTGTCATTTTAGGGAAGCAGTGTATGATTGGCTTTAAACTGCAAGGATTCAGTTCGGAATTAATTCAGTTGAAGAGGTTGAACTTTTTTGAAAATGACTTCAGGTTGAAATTTCGCGAGATTTTTGAATTTCAAGTATTTTTGTGCGTCTTCTCCGTGAAAAAGAACGAACAGAAGTTAAGACGCACTTGAATACAAATACTTTACAGTATTTTGAATATAATTATCCGAAAAGCCTGGTACAGTATTTTAAAAACATTTTTACCCCTTCTTACGATACAGGTATGCCAATTAGAATGATGATCAAATTATTTCCGGAAAAGTAAAAATTCCGAATCCATCTGATGCAAGGACATCGCACAAAATGCGATTCTTTTGCTATTGTATAATCGCGCGGGTCAATTTTTTTTTAGCTTCAGATAGCGCAGCACAGCACCAAAGTAAAAGTGTAGAAAGTTTCGCAAAATATCGGCGCAAAATGCGAATGGCCCTATGGCTGATCGTCGCGCAAATATTCGCGACAGCGGCGACGGAACAGCGAGAAAATTTGCGCGAATTCCTGCGTCGACGCCAGGAGCAACGCCGAACGCGAATATCTGTGGTTACTATAGCGACACCTGCTGCAGGGCCTGAAAACAAACTACGGGATTTCCCGCGCTATTCGCTAGATGCCGGTAACAGTCACGGCCAAGGTGGCGTTGATTTCAGTGGCGTTGCGTCATTCCACGCTGCGACTTCACCATCGCGAATTGTTACCAACAATTACAAAAGGAAAATGAGTTCAAAATTGACTGCGTTTCTGAGGCATCGAGAGGAACAGAGAAAACTCGACGCAGTTGAACCCACTGCTTCAGTATACCTAAGGTACAACTGTATATTCATAAATATAGGTGGCATTAATTACTGGTGTAATATGATATTTACGTCAGAAAGAAACCGAGGTACCAAATGTAGATTAAGAAAATTCAAAATCAAGTGATTAAAGAGTCAGCTGCTATGTTTCAGAAATTTCATTGAATAAAAAGGGTTCAATGACCAAATACAATTGCAATAATGCACTAAAATTATGCATAACCATTAATGGATGAACATATCTATGTTTAATGGTAAGTTATTGCAGTTGTGCATAATTATGTCTGTTGATGGTCAGATGAACAGTTACTCTCCCTTCCCTCAAGATAGAAAAGTTTATTTTCATAATTTCCTCAAAGCTGTAACAATATAAATACAGTATTGGCGAATTATGAAGGTTGAGCCTTTTATTCAGAAAGAAAGAACAAGGCTGCTCAGTTCAAGTAATCTTCAAAATAAACCTGCCTCCAAATGCATAATTACGTTGAGTATATTCAGAATTTGATTTGGTTTCTTTACCTGATTCTTGAAAAATTATGAAAATTTTTTTTATTTGAATCACCTCTGAATTGATTTGGTTAATGTTTACACATATGCTCTTTATGCTAATTTTTACACATATGCAGTACTGTAGTACTGTATATATGTCTGAAAATAGTGGTCAAATCATTCTGGGCATGGATTATAATTATGGTGGTTTCTGTATAGCCTGACTATTTTTTGTGTGGAAAACATAGCAACAATTTAGATACAAAGAAGATCAATTTTAAGCTGTATGACAAAATTGCACCATCATTGAATATTAGCAGCATTAAACTTCTTCATGTGATATGTAATCAGCATGGAATTTTCTTGAGTAAATCATCAAGCAAAAAATATGATTCAAGATTTTACTTGACACAGTGGAATTCCAATAGAACAAATTAATGCCACTAGTGCATTCTTTTCAGTGTTCCACCAGTTCAGCCAAAAAAGTATTTGAGTCTATTTTTTCATTAACAGAAGCTATTCCAGGTCACAATGTGACTTTGTTATGAGATGTTACTGATGTACAGTATTACAAACACCACCAATGATTTCAAAGTACCGTTCAAGTATCTTATATTTGCTGATATGATTAAACAGTAGTCCATTGGATGAAAATACTGTAAGCAGTTGAAGCAAATATGTCATTTGAGATACTGTTTCCTGTCATGAATACATCTTAACCATTGCATGGCAGAGGGTTCCTCTGGCCATCTTGTGGCAATATTGTAATTTTTTGGGGGATGCGGGTAGCATATTTCAATTTGACCAAAGATCACTGAAATGCATCCAGGTTGAGAAGGCCTAAGTTGGGAACAATTTGGGAAAGATGAATTCTTTTGTAATCCATAATCTCAAAATACTAACCCTATGCAAGGTTCAAATTCCTGAAAAAAGGTCACCCAGTGAGGAGTTTTTTTTTTTTTTTGAAGAGCCCTTTCTAGATGTCGCTCCTCGAACAACGACTGAAACGAGTACAACAACAACTACCACTAGTTCCCCTTTCACCACCATCAGGACATTCAGTAGCATCACTTTTGATGAGGAACCAGCAGCAGAGGATAACATCCAGACAAAGGTGGTTGTTCTGAGTAAAAATGTTGGGTAATCCAAGTAATCAAGTGATCTAACCCATGCACCTGTGATCAGCAGAATGATACCAATCTGCAGAAGTTTTTTGCCAGTCCTCCAGAAACCATAGAATTTTTTCTTTTAAAGTATCAATGCATCAGTCTGTTATCACCGTCCAACATTTTGGAGACATTGATATTTGAAATTATCTGATGAAAGTGTTGGTTTTTCTCCTGATAGCAAATTCAGACATATTTTATCCTGCTGAAGTATATTACCTCCACATTGAACCTGCATGAATTACCTTCTCAATGATAAGAATTCAAATTTGAATTACTGTAATATGTTCTCATTTATGTGGCTTCAGCGGCACTAATCTAAAAATAATTACAACTTTGAAAATAAACCAGCAATTGAAAGCTTAGCTTCTTCATTTGATTGCCTCACTTTGACAATTTCATGAATACCATCAGCAGTAAGACCAGTATATCAGGCATTTTTGGTGAGTTAGAAGGAATGCATTAATTCTGGCAAAACAGCATTCTTTATTTCCGCAATTGTCAGCTCATGTGATTTCTGTTGTCTCTTGAAGAAAATAACTGCAGTCAAAAAATGTCATCTTTATTGTTAGGTTCATTGCTAACCCCATAGTAAACACAACCAAACCCAATTTAAAGGACTCACACAACGTTAAAAACATAGTGCGACACCTACACAATCAAAGCAAAAATCGCAGAGTTTGAGATGTTAGATGTTTCAATTAAATGAAGTGACGGATTTTGCATTACAAGATTTTTTCTTTTATCTTTTTTAGCCGGTATTTGAAAAGCTTTTGGGATTTATGTGCAAAAATTAAGTCCAGAACTGTTGGGGACAGAAGTCACCACAACAAAGGTTGCTAAAAAGAAAAGTTTTTAGAAATAGCTTGTAAAAGAAAACACAGAATCAGCCCGGGACTGGAGCCAGGAATTCAAGGTGGAATCCCTAGTTTGAGTTTTAAATGTATTTCAAATGTCCCAAATAAACGTTTTAGAAAAATAGTCACACAAACACAAGTAAATTGACAAAATATTTGAACAGCAGAAAAAACCTCTCAGAAAACCTCTCAACGCACTGCTCCAGCAGCTAAAATCAGACTGTGTCGTCTTTTGATTTAACAGGGGCTTTTATTAATTCCTTCTCTGGTCCTTGATCAAGGGGGTTTGATCAAGGGTAGGAGAATGTTGGAGGCCTGGGATTGGCCGATAAATTGGTAATCAAAGATGTCTTGGCGCCAAGACAGTTGAATTTTTTCAGGGGAGGGGAAAAAGTTGTTGACGGATTTCATCCGTTTTTCACACATGGGTGGTTTTCCACCCAATTAAATATTTATGATTGATTTTTACGGGAGATGCATCGCGAGTCCGCAACAAAAACAATTGAAGCAACTGTAGTGGAATGTCTTGCAAAAATGGAAAGGTGGGTTTGAAGAAAGGTTTTTCAGACTCAAAATTTAATATAATATATTAAATTAGGTACAAATTTGTCTAGATTATTATAGGAGAAAAGCAAAAATATATATTTTCATGAGATAATTTTAACTGCGACTGTCTTGACAAAATTTGAGATAAAATATTAGCAGACATAGTACTTATTCTTCTCTCTTTTTTCAGCAGGTAACGAAGAAGCAGTTCGTCGAAAAATCCGCAGAAAGTCCTCGCCCAGTCTACAAGAAAACGTCCACTGCCAATAAAACGGAGGACAAGAAACTGCGCATAGAAAAAGACGACACTTTGGCAAAGGTGTTCACAATTTTCGCAGCGCCTTCACTGGAACAGCCCACGGCAAAAATAATGGCGGAAATGCTGGACAAGTTCGCCAATGTGCGCATATCCGCGAAAATCGGCGAAAAATTGCACTCGGACGCCGTGAAGCAAGGTCGGAAGCCGTCTTTGGCAGAGGAAATTCTGCTCGCGGAATTGCAATCCAGGGCTGGAAATCGACCGACGGACGTGACAAACACCAACAGACTCGACAGGTCTCACAGACAACCGGAAGTGCGAGTCAACGCCTCCAAGGGTTATGCCAAAGTGGTCATTCAATAATGGCGAGATAATTAATAATTTTAGCGTTGATGGTTCTACATGATTAAGAACAAGAGTGGCTCAAGAAAACGCTTTGGAAAATGCTTGAAATCTTTTCAGGCTTTCGTGACGGGAATTTATGATCGTTGACTGTATGTTGATGAAAGTAAAAAAAAAAAAAAACTGATCGGGAATTGTTTCAATTCGCTCGTGTTTTTTTCGTTTCCATTTACTATTCTGCATGTCAATAAATTAAAACTCGCAGCGAGAGTTCGTTGCATTTCAACGTGAATTACTTTTCGGAAAAGCAGACTAATTTTTCACAGAATTCTTCAAATCCAAGTAATCTTTTATAGGTTTTAACTCTTTTGAACTTGCTTTTTTTGCTAAATTTGTTGCTTCCGGCAAAATTTCAGCCAAAAATAGAGTTTATTCTTCATTTCTTGAGGGCATTTTCTAGTTTACTGCATTTAGGCTAAAACAAATGTGCGGAAGATATTGTTGAAAAAGTCTATATTTAATGAGTATTTCTACATTTTTGACGAGGAGCCAGCCATAGAATAATTATGTCAGGAACATCGATTTCAGAAATGATTCGTCGCATTTTTCATGCATCACAATTTTTCAGTGTGAGGCAAAAATGAGTGAAAATTTTACTCTTCGAAAAGCTGTAATTACATAACTTTCTTGGGAAAATTTTACGTTTGAATAAATTTCTAAATAACTACTGCACTGAAGCTTCATTAAAAAGTTTTATCACGATTTACGGTATATTTTTTTAAAATTAATTTTCTGAAGTGTGGCCTGGAAATTCAGTACATATTTTTTAAAACACTGGGAATATACTTGTAGATTCCTTAAGTGTACAGGTTCATTTTTCTCCATCATTAAAAAAAAAGCCAAAATAATTCAATCAAGTTCTTCATTTGGATACTGTTTTATTTTTATGCAGGGGCTACTTTAGAGTATTTGTCAGCTTGGATCCGAATTCCATAGTAAATATACCGCTTCCTCATAAAACAAATGCACATCATCCCAAGCAGGAAAATACCGGATTCAGCCAGACAAAGTTTCCAGTACTATAAAACAATAAAAATTTATGATTCTTCCAGGCAAAATTTGCCGAAAAGCACTTACTTACCTCACTGGTGGATGGATTCACGGTCAAGAATTTGTGTTTTATGTATTCATTGACTATGATGGGAAGTGTCAGTGGAATCCATGGAACCACAGCCAGTGACAAGCACCTCAATTCCCTGGGAACCTTTTGCAAATTTTTTTCAAATAAATTCAAAAAGAAACGAGGTTGAATTTAGAAGATTTTTCTTGCCTCGCAAACGGCAAATTCTTGCAGTAGGAACACCAGAAGTGACTGGTATAGAGAGAGCAAAAGTACTGCAACTATGTAAAAAGTCACGTCGTGTTGATTTGCCGGTCTGCTTTGGAAAATTGACACAGAGTACTTGGACGCATTCTGAAAAGGAAAGTTGCTGGTCATTCAAAAATAGATAAATGATAATGTCAAACATTTTCCCTTTAAAAATGTCTGCAATTCAATAAAATTCTACGCCAAGAAGAGCTTGAATAAATTACTTGAAGCAGTTTTTGAACTCTACTCTGAGAATATTTCAAAGGAATGCTATTTTCTGTCCCTGAATTTACTTTCAGTTTCTGCTGTACTCTTGGTTTTCTCAATATGAGCTATTCTCAAAATTCCCTTCATTGCAAAAATATGCCACAATATTACTGAATTACTGATTTGTTGGAAGATAAAAGATTGTCCATCACTCAGATGGAGACCCCCACATGCAGACACCTTGACATGGGGAAAATTCAAGGTAGGGACATTTATTTTCCAATAAAATAGGCATAAAGAAGGCCCAACATGCAGACACTGACTCAATATGCAGACATTGCATAATAAAATTGCCAATAAGTTTCTGGAAAAGTGACATTCATCCAGTTGAATTGCAAGAAGCAAGGATTTCCAGTGCTGAGATTTATGCCAGAAAAATTCTTTGGCACTTTCCCCATAATTTACCCATCCATTCAGCTAATTGGAAAAAATAACCTCCAGCATATAGGGAATTCCTTCTCTCTGTGTGACATGAATGTTATTCTTACAGATGCCAACATTGCAATGTGCAGAGGTACAGTATTCAATGCTCCTTATTGTGTTGAAAGATATTGACAGAATCAATTTCAACTGGCAGAACATTTCTTGTCATGGAATTCTGATGAATGTTCCTTCCACAAAACACCGCTTAACCCTTGTGCGGCAAAGTCAGGATATTTTTGCAAAATTTTGTGCCACTGGGCACTGGGATTTAGAAAAAAACCTACTTTTTTTACCAAGGGCTAAGTTGGGAAAAAGTCCAAGATTTTTTTCTAATCCTGCAGAAAATTTTCAGTGAAAATTTAAAAAATCCCTGGCTGGGTGACGTTTTTTCCTGCATTCCTGGCATAAGATTTGCAGAAAATCTTGCAAACAAAAGAATGTTTGCTTCCTGGATTTTTCCTGTCTTAGTCCTCCTCAACCTGGGTGCATTTCAGTAACATTGGGTCAAACTGAAATTTGCTGCCCCCAGGAAAAATCCCAACTCTGCCGCGCACTGAGAAAAAACCTCCCCTGTCCAAGGGTTAAAAATTAAATTGAGTTTATGGGAAAACAAGACTCAACATAGGGGCATTTTGACTTAGGAACACTCCTGATATACTAATTATGTCTGCATCCAGCAGTCTGAAAGTAACTCAAGATATACAGTAACATCATAACCAGTTTTGGGGAAATTCATGCACACAATGTGTATGCTTTCTTTCTTTGATGCAGAATTTGAAATTAGGTTGGTATTTTACCCCTATGCGACTTCAATAAAAATTCCTCTGGGGTTTGCAAGTGTATTTAGCTGAATGCAAAATCATTATAGATCATCAATTTAATTCAGCAATTGCCTTTTTCAGACTTTCTTTCAAAAAAATCGGACAAGCGATGCAAATATTTAAGTTTATAAATGTACTGCTTAGCTGTCCTTCATAGAAGATAACTAGAATAGAAAGAAATTTAACATGTATATAGACTACCCTCATAATACGCCATTCTCTCAAAGGAAAGTGCAATTTTGAAATTTTTCACATTTTTTGATGTAACAAGGCACAAAAGAATAATGAAAATTGAAACTCACCTGATTTTCAGTGACCCCCACATACCGCACCAACAATTCGTAAGATCCCCCAGCATAGAAATGAGTTGTTTTCAAAAGAAAGCCATCAACAAAAATGTCAAACCTTTCAAGATGGAATTACATCTTTCACTGGTTTCATTTTCGAAAATCCGTAAAACTAATGAAGCATACCTTCCAGCGTTACTATAAACGTCTACATGTCCCAAAGCTAACTCTCCATACTTCTTAAGGTCTGTTGAAAAATTGGCAACCACCTCTTTGTTCCAGGATTGTTTTATGATTCCACTGGGAATTGAGTTCCCTGGAGGCAATATGATGATCAATCTGAAATTGAGTGAAAAAAATATCAAGGAAGTATACAATCAGAAAATATCTTCTTGACAGAAAACAATGAGGGACAATAACCTTTTTCAGTAAATGGCTAACCAATGATATTATTCAACAATGAAGGAAATGGTTAACAGGTGCTTCCATTTTTTTTTTAATTTCACTAAAATACAAAATAATCTTGCTACAATGGACTTGTAACAAATTGTGTTTAGGTCCCTGTATACAGCAATAGGAAAATTATGAACTATACTACATTTTCATGATGAGATTTTAAAATTCTTGAAGCTTGATCACAGCGCACTCTATCTGAAGAACATTAAATATACATAGAAGCCCACTTCCATGAAAACTTTCATGAGAGTTCATGATTTCCATGTTAAAATTACATGCACCATATCTTGGGGAACCAGAACTCGGGCCCAGGGACATCAGGTCCCTGGACCTGAATTCTGGTCCCGTTTTCCTTCCTGCATCTCCTCAGATGTGCAACTTCTTGGATTCATATTTCTCCAGCCAATCACAGGCAAGGAAAAAAGTTCAGTGATTCAGTCAGGTCAGCTGACAGAAGCATTGGGCTAAATCCTGTAAAAACCCAGCACTGTTCCACTCCCAATAATCAGTCCTCAAAATTAGCTTCAACAGTAAACTTCCTCCAAATATTCCAACCCCAGTTCTTCAGATTGAATTATTGTACCCTACATTTGTGTGCACAAATTTATTGTCTTCATTGAATGTGTGTTGCATTATTGAATTTATTGTGATGTATCATTTTTGGTATTGTGTTTGATCATGATTTATTGTGGACTGTGATTAAACCAGACAAAACTAGGGATATGTAATTAAGGTACCCCCTTAATTACATATTCCCAGCTGCAAACCGGCTGATTGCCCTGCCTTATTATTTCCCACCTTTTCTTCCACTGTGCCATGGTTCAATTCTTTATGTTGGTGTTGGGTTGCGCTGGGGCTACTTTGTCGCCCCTTGTAGCGTCTTTGCGGAGGACTTAGAAAACCTGTACCTCGCACCAAGAGGTATGGATGAGCAGGATGGAAGCTCCTGCTACCATCCACCAAAAAGTGCCTGCTGCCAAAACTGGTTGTGAGAGTTGTTTGGTTCAAAGTTGTAGAGGAAGCCAGTGGTGCCCAGAAATGGTCACTTGCTGACTTCACTAGCTGAAAGAAGCATCTCCCTGAGAGCTCCCAATTGTGGTGATTATTGATTGTTCTGCTTAGGTTCCTGATATGTTGAATTGTGAGATTGTGTATGAGAAGTGTCTGTATTGTTTGCCTGACTGTTGTTGGAGCATTTGGATTAAAAAAGCTAAAGATTCTTGGGACTCCTCTAAGGAGGATCTGGCCTCGTGAAGGCTGATTGCCCTGTTTGTTTATTTCATCAGTTCTTTGTGGAATACAGCCCCACAGTTGGGTTGATTAATTCCTCAACACCATATAACAAAGTTATTGCAGTTCAATGCGCATGCATACCTCAAAGTCAGTATCAGGGTTGTTAATTGCGCCACAATCCTGCACAATCTAAATCGATTGTGCATTGAAAAATCCCTGAAAAAACTTGTGATTTCAATTGTGTGTTAAATTTTTGCCCTTTTGCGATTTTGCTTGCGATTGCGCAAAAAGCAATGCAATCAAAATCGCAATCCATCCTTCATTTTTCAGGGTTTTTTTTAACAATCCTCTAGTAAAAAGTGTATCAACTAAATTTTGTTCTGGATATTCCTTTAAAGAGACTGTTGAAAATAATCTAGAAAAAGTAGAAAGACACATGAACAACAATCAGTTACATGGCCCAATACAGCAACTAAAAGAATAATAAGGTTCATGTAAAACAGCATGGCCACCTGGGAGGATAGCTTCCAGGATAAAGGCTGTGGTATGAAACACAGTCCTTAAACCTAGAGCAGGTCCCAGCCCCAGAAAGATGTTGAGTAGAATGATCTCTAGCAAGAAAATCCATCCCTTTTATACTGGGGTTCCATAATCCAAGGACTCAAGGCTGGCAGAGAAGGGGTGAAAGAAGGGGTATCCTTTTACCCCTTCTTTCCCTTGAGTCCTTGGATCATGGTCCTTGGATTGAAGTCCTAGTGGGGGATTAGACCAAATTAAACCTCTCTCTTTGTCCTTGCTGTGTCTGACATTCTCATGGGAAAGGTAGCAACCCCAGTGTGAAAGGGATGACTTTGCTATAGATCATTCTACTCAACATCTATTTGGGGCTGGGACCTGCTCTGGTCAATATTTCAATCATTCTTGCCCCAACACCTGAGCATAGGCATAGGATTCCCAGTAATAACCTCAAAATTTTTCAAGATATATGCTCTAATTTCTCTGATTTTGGCCTATTTTTCATTGAGGACAGGCATCTTTAGTGACAGTAAGTGTTTCACTGAGAGAAAATGGAGGGAGATTTGTTCCAGGGAAGTTTGTGGCACTATGTCAGAGAGTGTTGGCACTGAATTGAGGGTTTACTGTACTTGAATGATTTTATATGCTTGTTGCATGATGATATTGGTGTATTTTCAAGTACAGTTACTTTCTATCAGGTGTGTTTGCTAAGAAAAATTCACTGGACAAAAACATTTGGGGGCATATTGGAATTTGACAATAATTTTTTCATTTTCTCCTCTGCTCCATGATTTTTTTCAGAATTTTTAAAAGGTTCAAACAAATAAATTCTGCCAGATTTTCATGCTGCCAGTGTTGCCATACAACTGAAAAAAGAGTGAAATTGAATTAAAATTCTTTGAGATGATTTTTAAAGATTGTGCTAACTCTTGCAATTTTGATAGTGACAAAAACTGAAGATTCCATAGTGATTTCGATTGCGCAAAAGTTTAAATCTTTAACAGCAATTTTGATTTCGATTGTGTGAAAAGTTTTGTAACCAATATCGATTTCGATTGTGCAATTGAACTTTTGATTTCGATTAACAACCCTGGTACTCATTAGCAAGTCAAAATAAAAATGCAGGTAAAAAGAAAATCTCAAGAAACTCACGTCAAGGATAATCCTTTCAAAGTCAAGTCCAATGAATATTGTGGTAGTAACATAATTTGCAATGTATCCACATCATCGGGAATCATCATGATAGTTGATACCTAGAAAAAAAGACATTCTCTAAAGTATTCCATTCATTCTCGAGAGGCAGAGTGGATCTTCTTTTGCAGGTTCAGGGCTTCTTCTTTACATGGTGATAGGAAATTTATGTTTGATTGATTGAAAGAATACACTTTCTAGCATGATTGAAAGGCATCATTAAACTATAGTATTTTTTTTCAAAAATACTATACATTTACCCCCACAGCAAGTCCAAGCGTTAATCCATTAGATTTTTTTTTTAATCAAGACTTTTTCTGAAGTTCAACAAGTTTTTCAGAGTTTTACAACAGCACTAACCAATGTGACTTCTGGCAGTATTTTGGTAGAGTTGACTGTCAAGTATAGTACGGCTAACCCCCATGCACACCTTGGACTTAATTTGTGCAACAGTCTATTCTGTTGTGTGAAAAGTCTGTCATGAAAATTAAATGATTAAAAACTGAACATTTTACCTTTTTGCCATCAATTTCAAACCACATGAAGTCAATTTGACAGAGTTTGACTGCTATGCAAAAATCTCTCAGGCATGAGGTATGTTAGGCAGGGGTTGACTGTTTTTCCAGAAATAGGCTAAATTCCAACAACTGAAATTTAAAAAAAAGTTAATGAACAAACATTCACTTGGTTTTTTCATTGCCTCAATTTTATTAGCTATACCAAGCTATTTTAAGTCAAAACTCGGTTCATTTCTTTTTGGTCCATCCTGTATATACACTAGAGTGACTAGACACTGCATTTCTCTCACACTACCCAGTAAAATGGATTGAAAAAACCGGAAGGCAACAAGGAAAGTAACCTGATGCTGATCAATGCGATCATGTAAAATGTTGCTCCAACCATAAATTTTATTTCCCAGCCTTTTAAACTGGGGACAACTGGAAGCGAATCCTTGGAACTCATAAGTGTTTCCCTCTGTAACATCCAGTCCGAAAATGGATTCGGGTTGCACCCGGATTTGCTTCTCGAACCCGGGTTCCGAAAGGTTCCTGATCAGCAGAGAAACGTGACAATCCATGGAATTCAAGGCAAGCACTTGCCCATCCCTGCCTTGGGGAATTGGCATCTCATTCCCATGAACAAACTGGTGGTGAAAACGTAACAACAAATTTTCCCCATTTCTATTATTGACAACTGCAATTATGGAAACAAGCAAAATTTGAATCATTGAGGGATTTACCGTGATCAGCAACGTTGACCAAGTGAGAACTCCAGAGTACATGACTCCAACGAAAAGAACAATCAGCAGTTCTTTTAAAAGTCCTCGCAATTTCATGGCCCTGATCACTGGGATCATCCAAAATAAAACCGCAATTGGGCACAGCACGTTACTAAGGATGTATTTTGGTGGATGCAGAGTATTAATGCTGTAGTAGGCATTCACAGTTACATTCATCCACTGGAGGTTGTAGTGTAGAAATGTACTCTGAAAAATAAGTTGTCAATAGAAGGAAAACTTCATCTGGTTCTTCATGAGGATGATGCAGTCAATTTTTTACCATACAAATTTCAAGAGAACTTCAGCATTTTAGCCCTTGTGGGGCAAAGTTGGGATATTTTCACAAAATCTTGTGCCCATGAGCATTGTAAAAATGTACTTTTGAACCAAGGTTGCTCAGGAAAAGGTTCAGTTATTTTTTAATAATCCTGCAGAAAAATGTTCCAGGAAAAAAATCATTGCTGATTGGCTCTTTTTCCTGCATTTCTAGCATAGGAATAACATTGAGGATTTCTCAAGACACTATAGGATATCAGTCAACCCCTGTACAACAGTGCAACAGACAAGTTTGTTATGGGAAGTCTGTTATGCAAATTCAATTATAAAAAATTGACATTTTTACTTCTTACCATTGATTCTACACCAACAGAAGTCCTTTTGGCAGATTTTGTGTTAGACAAGAGCAAAATCTGCTTCCACAGGGAGTCTGTTAGGAAAAAAATCCCTTATGCAGGAGTTATGTTTGGCAGGGGTTGACTAATTTGGGGGTTCTGCTGGACACTGCCAATTTCCCTGGCTGAAATTTCTCAAATTTAAATCTCCCAGCTCAGTTTCAATTTTATGGCTTCTGTATCAAGTCATTTTACTTTCAAAATTAGCATTCTTTGTTCAATGAATGAAGCATTTTCAACATGTCACAGGTCAAACAGATGTTGCCGGCAGATATGTAGTTTCATTCGGGATGACTAGATGTTGCCCAAGTCAAGATAGCAAACATTGGTACCAAAGTACAATGCAGCATACAAAACGCCACGTCATTGTCATGTTCAAAATTAAAAACATCTTCTTCCAGACAATCTGTTATGAAATATATTACAAACAAAATTGAAAACAAGATTCCAAGGAAATCTACCAAAAGACCAGCCTTGGAGATATTGATCTCCATATCTCCATTGATATTGATAGTGATCAAAAGAATAATCAGGCATTCTGTGTGCAAAAGGAATTAGTCACACATCAGTGGAAAGCCTTGAACAAACTTTCCACTGATGAGGACCTGAACCTCATCATAACCACAGCAAGAAGCAGTCAGAAGCAATCCAACCTCAACTGAGAAAGGAGCTATTTTGTGTGTGCTGAATTACTGCTGAACTTTGAACATTTGCTAAATATATAAACTGATGTCAAGGTATTAACCTCAGGCAGCAAATGGCTGATTGTGTTTATACCTTTCTTCTATATGTGAAAATTGAATCTTTGTCAGAAAGGCTCAATAGCCCCCGACACAACACGCAATTGCAATTTCACTTAAATTGAATAAAAGATTTTATAGAACCACAACATTCAGTTAACAAAACTTTTATCATGAAGAAGTTTGTGACACTTACATGCTGACTAAATAGTTTACTTGTGTTGAGAGAAGTAGATTCCTCCATTTGTTTATTTCTTTGTTCAATTTGGTTTTACTTTAATCCACTGCCTAAATTATTATTTTGCAAAATGCAAAGACATTTGATTTCACCAATAGAAATGAAGAGAATGAAATCAAACTTACTGATGCAAACATGATTGATGCCATGGTTAAGAAAGGCAACAGGAAAATTAATCCCATCACAGCCTGTACAGTTTGCTTTTGACATGGAGAAAACCCAGTTATTGCCTCTAAGTCAAAGTTTGAAATTTGCGTTTCTTTCCAGCTGAATTTTCTCCTGAAGATCATTTCCAATGGGGTTTTCAGGGACATGGACTGTAACATAAACATCCATCATACATTTTCCTCTTCATACATTTTCATCACTCACATAAGCACAGTCTAGAAGGTCCCTGTATGTTTTCCAGCTTATGACTGGAATTGGATGAGGTATTTCAAATGGCCAAAGATAAGCTATTCCTGAAAATCAAATAATAGGGTTTCACAAGTTTCATTTGAGCTGCACGTACTTTTTAAGAAGCTAAAAAGGATCCCAATACTGTAACATCTCATTAGGAATATCATCAAATTTTACAATATCGAGTAAACTTTTTCTCTCAAGTCCCAACAGAAAAGACCATATAGAGTGCATTTAAAAACAATTTTGTTGAAAAACTTCCCAATTACAGTTCTGTATAAAAAAACTTTTTTGGAAACGCTCAATGTATTCTCCAGTTTAAAAAATTATTAACTATTTTTGGAAATGGGCATCTTTCAGGAGAATAGTATTTTTTCATTTCCCTGATCAATTTATAAATGTGCTTTACTTTCTGCTTGTGAGAAATCTCAGCATTCACAAGGATAAAAATATTTAGCCCGTTCCTCTTTCCCTACACACACTCCCATAAAAAAATATAGAAATCAAATTACATATAAATGCATGGATTCCTTGGTCCTTACTTGTGACAAAAATGCCCAACACCTGGCAATTATAGTGAGCACAGCAATTTTAAACACCAGGTGTAGTCATCCTGTTCCCAGATAAGATATTGATACACCAATAAATTTGGAGAAAATCTTTGAGGATATAGAGCTAACACTTGCTTCAAAAAATTAAACATTTTCAATTTTTATTCTTACAATCATCTAGCCAAATATTTTTCACAAGAAACCCATGGCTTCAATAATTATATGAGCATGAAACCTTATTTATAAAAAACACACTTTTTTCAACGAAAAAAAAAAAAACTGCACAACTCGCCTCCAGGAATCGTTGCAAAAAGGATCTTGACGCTGAAATAAAATGGGAAGCAATTCTTTCTACCCAGGCAAGGAAAAGCATCGGTGGGAGGAAATAACCCTAATTCTGGAATCACGTATCGCCAGAAATTGACCAGCATGTCGAAGAATGTAACATGGCGAATGAAAGTCATTTCTTGAAAATCCGGAAACTCGTTACAAGAGTCATTCCCGACTCGTTTCTCAATGTACGGATGGAGAATTTGCACGACGATGAACAGGGCAATGTGCAACCCGAAACTTAAGCCAAACGTGCAAATCCAAAATCCCAGCGTGACCAGGATTCTGTTTCAAATGCAAAAATATTTCAGGAATCCACGAGGCATGATTAATTTTTTTTTAGAAAAGATATGAAATACTTCGTATTGTATGACTCTTCATCATAGAAACCCGATGAGAATTCCAACACCGACCCGAACATGATGATTGCAGAAGTGACGAGCAGCCAACTGAATTCATATGAAAATAAGAATTGAAAATGTAATCCACACTTTTAATTCAGGTAACACTATGAAAAAATAGTTCAGATAATAGTTTTCCAAAATCCTCATCAAAATCCCTTTTTCATACGCAATAAAAATAGTTTTTTGTACAACAAAGCCATATTGGGTCACGTATGGAAAAAACTTTTTTTAAAGATGAAAAATGTGTTAGAACAAGACTCAAATCACATTCCTCTTGTCCCAATCAAGAACTCTCTTAATTGCTGGGACTTGAAATTAGGAGAAGGAATAATAATCAATTCTAACGAGGTTCTACTGTATAAGGGCTTAATTTGAAATGCAATTTCAAGCAGGTCAACGTTTTGAAGAAAAAAAATTTCTGAGCTACAAAAATTATAAAATTCCGCGAATAGTATTTGATCGTATATTGAAATACGAGCCCATGAGTTCTCAATTTTGACAATCATCGCAATTTATATTCGCCATCCCAATCTTTTTTTTTTAATCTTGAGGTTCTTGTCAAATACCCATTTGGAAAGCTTCGCTGTGTTTTACACATACATTATATTATTTATACGATGAACTGTAAATCGATTTCTGAGAAAAACTTTCAAAACTTACAAATTAACGCAAATCATTTAGTATGAATATTTTCAAAAGAGAAACACTTTGCTGTAGTTCAGTAGGTTTCAACAGGATCGAATGAGAGCAATGCTTTTAAGAAAACAAAATGGAAGAAACTTCCAGTGATTATTTAAATGCTGTGAAGGTTTTCAAACGAAAACTCCAGATCCCTCTAAAATCACAATACGGAAAGGGATTTTTTTGAGTATGTTCGAAATATTTCAAATGTCTGTGAATTTTTAAATGTTTCATACCTATGAGTTCTCATCAGTGTACTACCAAAGATCCCAGCAAAGAAGCGTCCAAAAAGTCTTGCTACGACGGAAGAAATGTCCATTTGCTTAGCATCAGGGTAAAAGTTTCGTTTCGCATAGATTGCGATTTCACCTGCAACAAAAAGCACTTGAATTCCAAGAATGTTTTCAAAGGTTGGTGTGCAAAAGCTGGAAGAAAAATTTGAGGCTGAAAAAAAATCAGGCGATTTTTTCTTGACCTAATCTTTGTATAAAAGGTGAGGAGGCCTTTTCTTTCTTTTGGGTTGCTAATACTGTATAGGAAACCTTGTGAACTTGAAATACTTATGCATTTCTAGTGGATAAAAAATATTACCCATCAAATCAGTATCGCCCTTTATTCATAAAGAGGGGGTTGTACATTTTTGTGAATCATATCAGCAAATGAACCAAGACTGAATTGGTATGAATATCAGACAAATCTGAGATTATCTGAGATCTGAAAAACCAATGGATGAAGACTCTTGCACCAATTAAACAATTTGAGTTGAACATGGAATCTTTTCAACTACATAGAGCGAGTTTTTTATTTCTAGTATGTTTCAGATTTAGTGCCACATAATTGTAACAGAAAAAAATTCAGATATTTTCTTACCTTGAAGTGAAAACCTTTCCAGGTATATCAACATCAGAGCAGTCACAAACGGAAGCAGCAGCGATTTCTATAAAAAGCAGAAACTGAAGTTCCATCAATGAAAAAATTGGTATACTGTAGAAGAACATACCATCTCATGAACTCTTTCATTACAAAGTGATCCTCCTTTGGCCTGTTCATCAGAGTCAGTCTTGTCCCTCATCTTTCAGGGGCTTTCCTTGTTTTGATAAAATGGGTCAATGTCAAATTCCAAGGAATAATGCAACATGTGGAGGAGTTCCAAAGAATAATGCAATGTGACAGGAATACCCAGGAATGATGCAATATGACCCAGGAAGGTCTCTAACCTGTTTTCCAGGAAAGGAACAATTCATTCCTTTCCAGGAAAGAAACAATTCCTTCCTATCCCGATTCCAACTCATTCATAGGGTTGCTCAATATACGGCCCGCGGGCCAGATCTGTCCCGCGGAGGCTTTCCGTCTGGCCTGCAAAGCCATCATGGAAAATTGACACCAAAAAATTGAAACCACCAAAAGTGAACATTGCAAGTTTTTGAGACTTTATCAGTCAGCAATTTTGTTGAAGAATATTATTAGGGTTTCACACATTTTATGATTCCTTCCTACAAGAAAGACCAATAGACCAGTATGAACTGATTTTTGATATCAGTGGTTCTGCTTTTCAGATTAAATGGTAGAGTTTTTGTAATCTTGGAATTTAAATCCTACCCCAGCCTTTTCTGTGGTGTTTTTAATTTAATTGCATTTCTTGATATGGGAAAGATATACAGTAGCTTAATTTTTTAAATAGCATGAACAAAAGTAGACCCTCATGTAAAAATGCAAATGTAAAGGTCTGCGGACAAATTGAGACAGGGCCACTTTGTGACAGAGGGACAAGATTAATATCACAATCAGTTCAGTACAAGGAAGAATATTGAGGTTTGAATTTCAGGGATGTTTATGGTAAGACTTGATTTAGAGGACAGACTTTTGGGAAAGGGAAGATGCTGGATACTGTATTTGTAAATATCATTCCTGACCTGACCAAAGCACATGATTTGCTTCTTCCTCCTCTGATTGGCAGGAAGAATAATTTTTAAGGGAGAAGTGAATGCAAGGAGGAAAACCAGACTCAAAACATAAATTCTGGGCCCCAAGAAAATTTGATCGAGTTTTTCATTGGAATGCACATTTATTTTTCATGCTGAGGCTACATGAGTGTATTTGTCAGCTTGGATCCGCACCCCATAGTAAACATAGTGCTTCCTCATCCAAGCAATGCTGATCATTCCCAGGATGACTATTCCAGATTCAGCCAGGCAAAGTATCCAGTACTGTATCAAACACAAAAGGTTTCCATATATTTTCACATTTAATTCAAACTCCAAAATTCTTACATCACTGGTGGAAGGATGCATGGTGAAGAATCCTTCAAGGATCCTCTCATGGACTAAAGAGGGAAGTGCCAATGGGATATAAGGAACTACAGCCAGGGACAAGCACCTCAACTCGGAGGGAACCTGTTGAAAAAATTAAGCAATCCATCTTTAGGATTTGAAGATGAATTGAAATATTTTTTTTAAATAAAATGGTATTACCTCACAAACAGCAAATTCTTGCAGCAAATACGTCAGGAGCGTCTGGTGTAGAGATAACAGTAGCACTCCGACTATGTAAAAAAAGATGTCATGTTCGTTTGGAGGCCTGTCCTGGAAAACTGACACAACGTATTTTGACGAGTTCTGTTGGAAAAATTGATTATCATTAAAAAGTAAACAATGAATTTTGTAATTTTCCCTTCAAAATAATTCTGAAATACAAGACATACACTATACCAAAAATGAAGCCTTCAATATTAATTGCTCAAACCCATTTTTGGCATTACTAAAATATGCTATGAAACTATTTATTTTTTGGAGCATAATTTATCCAATAGTTTCACTTTAATAGCATATGCAGAAATTTTCATCCTCAATGTTGCATCCATTGAAAATTGCCACATGTATGTATGCAATTTTTGCAAGAGAGTTTCCAATTACTGTATCCATGGATGGAGATGATATGCAAAATTATTTAATGCATATTGAGTCAGTTGGGGGACCTCATGAAAACTTTTTCAATATTATCCTTCATGTTTCAGTTCTCTTCAACTTCTTCATTTCTTCAAAAACTTGCTATAACTGGTCTGCGTATAAGTTCTCAGCTGCCATAAGATGTGTGCAAACCATTTTATTTTCATAAAAACTTCCCCTCTTTCAACCCTGTCATGGGTACATTGGATCCCAGACAAAGGAATTGATTTGTGCAGCCATCAGAATGCAAGTTTTGAATAAGAACTCAAACTCTTTTCAGAGGAGTTCATTCTCATTGCCCAGTTCA